GTTCTGGAATGTTTAAAAATTGCTTAAATTAATGAATAAAAACTCCTATTAAATTCAGTTGTCAACATGTTAATTTCTTTTTTCATGCAGGGAAAGGAAAAGTTGCTCTCAAAGTAACCAATGAGCATTGCACAAAAATAAATCAACCATTAAACACTTTGGTTATACTTGATGATCAAGTGAGCATGGTACAAATTTAATCATAAGAAATAGCCCTAGAGAAATAAATATAGCTTGGGAAATTTCCCACAGCCTTGCTTATGGTGAATCAAGGGATTTGCTGTTTGTAACAATCACAGAACGTGTTTTATACAGTGAATAACATTGAGTCATTGATTTACAATGGCTAAGTAAATCAAATTCCATTTTTATTAAATGGTGTTTTGCAGCTTATACTAGTACATTTGGGGATTTAATTCAACTACTTTGTTCATTATTTTGTGAATGATACATATAAATACAAATCCAGGTGGAATAATGTCTGCGCTATTTTGCGTTCTTGTCGCACAGTGATAGTGTTCCTACCAGTGGACTAGGAGGCCTTAGTTCAAGACCCACCTGCTCCAGAGGTGTGTAATAACATTTCTGAACAGGTCGATTGGGGGAAAAAAATTGCCTTGGGAAACTGCTTACATCTAAGGGCCAGTTCACATCGTATCTCTGAGACCCTAAAGTTTGTTCAATGAGTTGATGTGGTGTTGATGTGGTATTGATGCAGTGTCGAGATGTTTATGCCACATGTTAAAAGGTAAACTCCATGAAATACATGAAACTGCATAGTTTTGACTTCCCATACTGCATTAACTTACACTTGTCCAGATTAAACTCTATCGGCCATTTCTCTACCCAACTTTACAACTGATCTACATTCTGCTGTATTCTTTGATAACGTTCTTCACTATCTACAACTCTACCAATTTTCGTGCTGTTTGCAAACTTACTAATCAGGCCACCTACATTTTCATTTAACGCATTTAATTATATTACAAATAACAGAGGTACCAGAACTAACCCTTTCAGAACATCACTGGTCACAGACGTCTAGTCAGAAAAACACTCCTCCACAAGTACCCACTGTATCATATGAACAAGCCAATTTTGAATTGAATTTGCCAACTTACTATGGATCTCACACGGCTCAGTGTTCAGGACCAGCCTTCCATGAGGGACCTTGTCAAATGCTTTAGTAGACAACATCCAGTGGCCTGCCCTGATCAATCCTCTTCATCACTTCCTCAAAATGCAGTGTTCCCTCACTTTTTTCTTCTGCAATGATCTCCAGGATCCATGTGCAGCATTGATGTGCCACCACAGATCGCAGTATGGACCTCTGGTTCTGGAAGTCAATCACCATGTGGGAATATTGGAGCAGCTGCAGTCAAGCAGCTTAGTGGGGATGTTGCCCTGGAATACTCCATTGATTTTTGGTCTTTTTAACAGAGGAAGAACATACTAGACTTAGAGGGAGTGTTTTTAATATTCACAAGATTGATTCCTGAGATGACAGAGTTATCCTATGAGGTAGAGCTGAGATTGAGTAGAATGGGCATATGTTATCTGCAATTTAGAAGAATGAATGATTTTGTATCTGGATTTAACAAGAGTCTGCAAAGGTTAATACTTGATTGAGTGCAGTAAGCACTATGATAATGTCACAAAGACTTGATTTGAATAAAGAAAAAGATTGTGACAGAAGTGAGCTGGTTTTCTCCTAGCAGTCTATGAAGCAATGTAGGCATTATTCACATGATCTGTAAATCATTGCAATTATACAATAAATTTTATAATGTAGACTCAAGAACGCCAGTTATACCAGAAATGTTAATTCCCTATTGCTCGCTAGATCACATCAGGCTTGAGGGAAGCCTCACGCAACAATCTCATTAAAATGTATAAAATGACACAATTGATAGGTGGGCATTGAGAGGGTTCAGAACCAGGGTCCATTTTCTCAGGATAAGGGGTTAAAGGGTTTGCAATTTAGTACTGAAATAAGAAAAAATGGTTTCAGTCACAATATTCAGAATCTTTGTAATTCCTTACCCCCGATTTCTCTCTGATTAGTGCTCAGTCATTAAGCTTATTCAGAACTGAATTTTATAGATTTTTTGGGGCACTAATTACACAAAGACCAGTATCCCGTCACCAAGTCACCTATTATTAACATGTGTAGTACATGACACTGACCCAGCTAGCTCAGAGCCGGCTCCTAGAGTAAGCCGAACCCCTGACACTCCTGTTTATATCTGTCAGCCAGGGCTCCCTGATTGGACCAGGCTAGCGGCCCCAGTCAGGGAACACATTCTATTAGATCCACCTGACTGACAAGTTGGATTTGAGGAAAGTAGTGTTGATGTAGAAGTTATTGCAGCACTGATTGGTCTAACCCCGCTTCTATTTCTTAAGATCCTATATTCTGCACATCGTACCAACAACTTTGTATTGTGCGTTTAACATAATGAAACATCAAAAGCATTTCACAGAAATCTTATGAAACATAATGTGACACTGAGCCACAAAGGAAGATATTAGGTTAGATGTCAAAAGGCTTGGTCAAAATAGTAGGTTTTAAGAAGTGCCTTATAGAAGAAATTAAGGTAGAGAAGCAGAGGGGTATAGGAACATTATTCTGGGGTTTAAGGCCTATATAAGTAAAAGCATGGCCATCAATATTAGAGCAACTTTAATGGGTGTATGTAAAGGTCAGAATTTGAGGAGCATAGAGATCTTGCAGGATCGTGGGGTTGGAGGACATTAATTCAGTTATCATTTAAAAATAAAGTTTCTTTAATGACTTTTTACATTTAATTATTTAATATTCATAAATTGAATAAATGATCCAATATTAGGGTCACAGACGGTTTAATGTGTTTCTTAATGTTGCTCATGATCAACATATTTGTATGTGACTTTGTGCATTTCTTATCCTTGGAATGAGAGAGTGAATGTTAAATAATCATGCAGCAAAACCTTTTATACTTAATAGGAAAAATTAACACATTTCTGCATTTTCGCTCTAGAGGTTCCGAACCAAAGTATGCCATAAACTCAAAGAATAATCAGAGATTAAGATCAGAAATGTGTATAAAAATATGAATCAAGTTTAGCCTCTGTGAGCTCACTGCTGGCTTGTTGTTTCAAAATCGGGACATAATGATGTCTGAAGTAAAGACTTTAGAATTAAAGAAAAAGATCTGTACAGCTGTAATGGCTTCCACTGCCAAAGGTTGTTTTCGCAGGTAAGGTAGACATGGAATGAGGTGGGAGGGAGTAACCACGTATTTCTCTTTTACAGAACTGGGGTATGGCCTTCTTAGAGCCTGGTTGGTTACAGCAGTCATTAGTTAGACTCATTGGATCTCTCTTTCACCCTGATGCAAGCCATCTCTTTCAGCTGCTCTGAAAAATTCTCAAGATGTCTCCCATAAGATGTTTCTGTATAAGTGGTTTCAGTTTGAATCTTTGGAGAGAAGGTAAAGCAATTCTTGGATTCCATTTTGAAAACAGTCTTTAAAAACAGTCCAAGGTTTTAAAATGTAACTTGTGAAACATTTTTTTAAATTGTAAAATAATAATTGCCAATTGTAATAGTGGTTATGATAATTTATACATTTAGTGCAATTATATAGTATACTTTTTGTTCATATTTCCCATATTACGAACAGCATATCAGAGTAAGAAAATGCTAAAACAGTGGCTTGAGTCTACCTCAGCTGCTTAATTTGTCTTGAGTGGTATGGTAAAACATGTAATAGTGGATCATTTGCCCTTTCAGACAGTTCCTGACATGTAATTATTTTATGGAACTAAATGTTATGAGGCACCACATATAATGGGCAGCTGTTTCAATACTGCCCATTTGTGCACTACCCAAAATATATTTCTACACCAATGGGTGCAAATTGGAACATTTATTCCACAGGACAACCTCTTACTTTTGAAATTCAAGCTTTATCCAGGACAGATTGTTCATAACCACAGAATGTTGTGTTTACTGTGCATATCTCGTCTTGAAAATACGTCTTGAAAATATATTGGGCCTTCTCATCTACAATATAAACACCAACTAACATTTGATACAGGAATACGTCACAAGAGACCTCGACAGAGCATAATCAGACAAAAAAAGTCATAGAAGGAGTCACTGGGAAGGATGGCTAAAAGCTTGGTCAATATTATGAGTTTCAAAGAACATCTTAACAGACGAAATAGCTGTAGAAAGGAAAATATATAGAGAAGGAATTCCTGAGAAAATACAAACACCAATGATGGTGTTGAGATTCTCTGATATAACTGAACAATGAAGAGTGGAGCCAAGTGTAATTATTCCACTGAGCTGGACAGCAAGATTGTGTTGAAGGAAGATGCATGATGGACCTGGTAAAAGTTGCAATGAGGTTGAGAAACCATATCCATATTCTGAAGGGTCGAGGCCCAAAACTTCAGCTTTCCTGCTCCTCTGATGCTGCTTGGCCTGCTGTGTTCATCCAGCTCTACATCTTGTTATCTCAGATTCTCCAGCATCTGCAGTTCCTACTATCTCTCCATATTTTGTGAATTTGTTCATTTCTGTTCATTTCCTTTGTTGAGTGGAGTCTTTGAATCTCAAGACTGTCTTTCACAATAAAGATTGCTAGCATTGTCTCCAAGACCTTGCACCTTCCCCCCTGTAAAACAATTTGGGCCCTGTTTAATCTCAAATAATCAAACTTTAACTTGCTGTCAGGTGGTTGTAGAACAAGTCACCTGACCCCCTCACTTTTACCTTAAATAAGACAGAATCTTAAAACATAATTAGTTCATAAACTCATAATTATAACAGGCAGAAGTCAAGAAAATATTTTGGTTTCTCCTGCATGATCAGAAGTTGTTCCTGTCTGATTTCAGGCAGCATTGCAGATGAAAATAACCTTTATACATCATAAAGGCAGTTCTACCATTTTCTGCAACTGTAATTTCACGAGGGTCCCATTGATTTGCCACTGCAACTCTGGAAGAATCCTCAAGGAAATGGAAGAATCCCAATGGATTCCGTTCTTGACTACTGGATTGAAGTTCCATCTTTTACAAGAGTCAGGAATTGGCATTTTCAAAACTGGGTGACTCTTTGCTGCACAAGTAAGTAGCAGCCACGATGACAAGTGAAATGAGGCAAAAATGACAAATGGATTAGATCTTTGAACAACAACATTTTGTTTTTTTTTTTAAAACAGTTCAGCCAGTGCTCAGTGACTGATGTGATCTCTGCTGGCTTTGGGCAGAAGTGCTCTGAGGCTACCAGCCCTTCAAGGATGCACACATTTAGAGCTTCTGAAGATCTCTGGCAAGTCAGTATTATAGACGTAATTTGTTTACTTGCTACTGAAGCATGTTGCTAAGGTCTCTGCAAATTTGACCAAGTCAGAGCTGGTGGGCATCTGTGGGGGCAATCTTCATATAAGATTTACAATTCTGTGAGCCTTATACTCCCAATATCTACCAAAATTCTGATTCTCAAAGAATGGTTTTGTAATTTCACTAAAAACAGTAATCAGAAAAAAACTTTTCAATTATATTTACAGTATTACTAACATACTAAGACTGGATGAAATCTTCCTAATCTGTTTTAACATGAGTAACATAATGTATCATTTAGTTGATTTGGTCTATTACACAAACCTCGTCTCCAGGGCATGACTGACTAAAACCTTTTGTTTGGTGTCCCTATCTAGGATTAATTGGAGGCAATGCGCACGTTTAAAAAAAGGTGCAATACAACTCTTACTTCTGAAGGAAAGCTTGCACAGCTGTGTGACAGTTAATTTCTTAATCAATTTCTTTAAATTAGTTGTTAATTTAATCAATTTCCATAGAAAGATTAATCACAGTACAATTAAAACTCAAGATACTCTGCCCAGTTTTAGCAAATTGATATATTCTTCCAATTTAACAAAGGCTAGATTTTAAACAAACCAATGTTTTGGTAAGTACCAGAAGATAAAAGAATCAATTTTCTTCAAGCAGAGAGGTTTAAGACTGTTTCAGAATGTGAGAAGCAGCAGCAAAGGATTTCTTAAAGTTAATGAAATTACTGACGCTCAGTACAATTTGTTGTTTATGCAATCTCTCTCTACTTCTTGTGCATGCTCTGCAGTATTCTGCACAGATTAGAAATGGGAATCGCTGACTTCAACCAGCAGTAGAGAAACACTGTGCTTGGGATGTCCCAGAGATGGCTTTAATCCGACATAGATAAATTATATGCAAATCAAAGGAAGATGGAGGAATGATGTTTTATGCTGGAGTGCTACTAAAGAACTAAAAGTAGTATCAGAATTGAAAGGAACTTGAAACAAAACTTGTTTTTATTATCAAAAAGCAGAAGTTAATTCAGATTTAAATTATCAGTACTGTATTACATAAGCAGGCCATTTTGTCATCTGTTATAGTACGATCCATTGAATGTATCCTTTAAAAGTTTAACACAGATTAAAGAATAATGAGTAAGCTTTTCGAGGCAGAAGTTTTCCTATAAGGCTTGTCCATGACTTCCAGACCATAATTTTGATCCAATCCTGAAAAGACTCCCTTCCATTCAACACAATTAGTTCATTCTTGAAGACTTCTAATAGTTTTAACAAGCGATTGGGAGAACTCTTATTCAAGAAATGCATTAAATTTGATAAATGAGATATATATAAGGATTATGACATCTATGTGTCTATGTGTTAGATTGTATCAGCCACAATCTCACTGAATGGCAGAACAGGCTTGAAAGGTTATGATCCTGAGGATCATTTTCTCCTCATCAACAGACTTACCACCAAAAGTGCTCTGGAATTCTTGTTAAATGTTTGGACATATGAACATACAAAATAAGATGAGATGTAGGGCATTCAGCCCCTCAATGCTGCTCTGCCATTCAATAAATTCATGGCTGATCTGAATATTCCACATTCCTATCTACTCTGGATAACCTTCTCCCTCTCTTTTACCAACAATCTACCTACCTCTGCCTCAAAAAATTCAAGGACTCTGCTTCTATCTTGTTTTGTGGAAGTGGTTTTCAAAGCCTCATGGCCTTCTGAGAGAAAGAATTTTCACCTCATCTGTGTTTTAACTGGGTGAGCCCCCAACTTAAAACTGTGACTTATGGTTCTAGATTCTGCCACTATAGGAAACAAAGAGTATGGGATGCATTGCCTGGGAGGGTGGTGGAGGCAGGTTCAACTGAGGCAATTCAAGTGGACTTAGGACAGTGGTTGGATAAAAATAACGTGCAAAGGTATGAGAAGAAAACCCAGGAGATTAGCACTTGGTAACGATGCTCATGTGAAGAACCAGAGCAGACACGATGGACCAAATGGCCATGCGGCTTCTGTGCTATAAAACTTTTCAGAGCCCTGCAATCTCTCATGGTGTGCTTATTTTCTCTTTTTCCTGCCAACAATTGCAGCAATTTCACATTTTTCCAAGTAATACTCAATTTTCCAGATCTTTGCCCACTCATTTAACCCATCCATACCCTTTTGTTGCTTCCTTAAGTCCTCTTCCTAATTTACTTGCCTTCCTATATTTGCACCATGAGCAAATTTAGTAACCATATGTTCAATCACTTCATCCAAAGCATTTATATATTCTGTAAAAAATTAATGCTCCAACACTAACTCCTATGGAACACCCTTGTCAACCAGAAAATACTAACCTATGCCAACACTCTGACAAGTTAACAAGAACAATCTGCTACCAATGCCATTATGTTGCTCCCTACACTATACGTTTTTATTTTCTACAATAACCTTTGTGTCACCTTATCAAATGCCTCTGGAAATCTGACTACAATACACCCATTTGTTCCTTTTCATTCACAACACATTGCCTCCTCAAAAGAACTCCAATAAATTGGTTAAAAATTTTATAAAGCTATATTGACCCTACCCGATTACTTTTGTAAATGCCCAACAATCTCCAAGAGTCACTTAAAAGTTTCTAAAGAATCTGACTCCCCTACCACTTTTGTGGGTGGTGCGTGTATGGAATGAGCTTCCAGAAGGGGTGGTAGTGGCACCTTGAAAACATTTAAAACACATCTGAATAGGTACATGAATAGGAAGGATTTAGAGGGTTATGGGCTAAATGCTGGCAAATGGGATTACATTAATTTAGGAAATCTGGGTTGACATGGACAAGTTGGACTGAAGTGTCTGTTTCCGTGCTATAAATCACTATGACTCTATAACTAGATCATCAGCCAATTCCTTTAAGATGCTGGGATGAGGACTTGTCAACCCAAAGTTCTAATTTATTTAGTACAACTTTCCTGATGAGGGACATGTTCTATATATCCCCTCCCTTGCATTTCCTGATCTGTAGCAATTTCTGGGATGTTACTTTGTGACCTTTATAGTGAAAAATGTTGCAAGATACCTATCTGGTTTATTTGCTATCTCTTTCTTTTCCATCAGTAATTCCCCAGACTCACTTTCCACAGGAGCAATACTTATTCATAACCTCTTCTCTTCTTTAAATACATGTAAAAAGTTAGTAAAATTTTCTATACGTCCAGTTAGCTTTCTTTTGTGTTCCAGCTTTTTGTTTATTTTAGTCATTCTTTGTTTTTGTTTGTATTCTATGCATTCTTCCCACTTGCAAGCCTTATTTAAATAAATTTTTTAAGTTTGATATTATCTTAACATCCTTAGTTAACCACAGATAGTAGGCTACCCCGTGAAATTTATCTTTCTTCTATGTCTGAAATATCTCCTTTAATGTCTGCCACTGGATATCTATAGACTTATCCAATTATCTAATTTGTCTGTTCACTTCTTCCATGCACTCATAATTGTTCTTTTTAAAGGTTTGAAATATTAGTCTTTGATTCACACTTTTCTCCCTCAAAATGAATGTAAATTCCAATATTATAGTCACCACTACCTAGCGATGCATTCACTACAAAGGTCATTAATTAATCCTATCTCGTTGCACAATATCAACCTCTGGTTGACTCTGGAACATGCTGTTCTAAGAAGCAATCATGAAAACATTCCATTAACACCTTACTAGGAAGTAAAGGAAAAATGTATTGCTGGCAGTCAATCTACTATTGCCTGTTTTAAACTGTTGGCAAAAGTTAAAACAACTCCGAAGCATTATGCAAAACCTGTGAGTTGCACCTGACCCAACTTACCCTGTTTGAGTGGTAGTGCATGCAAGATTCAATGTAACATACAAATGTAACATGACAAAAGCATTCAGTTCAAGATTTACAAAACAACAATAAAGTCTTAAATGAACTGACATACTTGAAAACAGCTACATTTCTGTATATTTTTAATTATTAACTGTGCAACATTGCTGCTCCACTGTGTTGATTTCTTCACTAATCCTTTTTGAACAGAAAAGTACAAACTGTACCATAGTTCCTTGAGAGTCTTTCAAGTAATTATTGCATCATTAATTCTAATTTCCCAGTACACGATATTGCTGTTGAACAAGTATTAGGAATATCGATGGATGTCAATTCCAGCACTCTTGAAAGATGTTCTTCTATTTCCAGTCTAGTGGTAATTTAGACTTCCTTTGTGATGAAAAACCTGTGTTTGCTGTGCGTCAGACACTTGCTGCAACGGAAGATGAGGAAACATTTCACAAAAAGCTTCAGGGAAGAGGTTGGTGTAGAGAGGAGCTGTAAGTCAGCTGACTCTTGCAAAAGAGAAACCTAATTTTCAATGGGCATAAATGAAAACAGGAAGCTGTCCATTGAGAAAACCAAATTCAGTTTCAGCCACGAGTTGTTCCTCTTTATCTTTTGTAAGCAAGGTCACGTTAACGAGAAAGTTAACTGTTAAAGTAAATGATTGGCAAAATGTTGTTTGATGCTAGGGTCAGAATTTCAAAAGAGGAATGAAGGAATTACATAACACACTGGAACTTAGACATGCTGTACCCATGGAGTCCTCACATTTGGTTCTGCATCTAAATTGCGTTAATATGGGAGGCACTGAATGCATCCCAAATGCTTCTTCTTCAGAAGAGGAGAATCAGAGTGTGAATTAGCCTTAAACATTCTTATCTTACAATCACATTTGTATAGATAAAACATGCCAGTAACACTTCTCTGAATGGGGAAGCATAATGTGCAGCAGAATCCATAAAATTCAAGCGTGGGTAAACAAAATAAAGAGACCAGAAAGGGAAAATAAAACACACGACAGCAGTGAAAAGAAAATAGTGTAGCATGGCAGTACTGCCCATAGCCATGCTGTGGTGGAATATAGGTTAGCAGTGCCATTCTCTCTCGGCAAATCACCTGCAGTTGAGTTAAAGTTCACAAGTTAGCAAATAGATATCAGAGGGAAGATTGCCCCTGGCCCTCTCTCTTACATGTTCTGCTGGCTCTCTGAGAGACATTGGTGCAGAGATGCCTCCTGTCATGTATCAACGTATTGCTTAGATCATAAAATAAAAATTAATGGAATTTACAAAGAACAAAATACAAAGGGCAGAAATTAATAGAATTGTCATTTCCATTAATAGTATTATTGAGCAAATGCTTAATGTTGTTTGCATTAAGTCCATTATCTGCCCATTACACAAAAACACACACACAAACACACACACACTTACATAAATTAAAACACAAGCAGTGCCATAAGAAATGCGCAAAGAAACAGAACTAATTGAATAACACATTCAAGGAGCCAGTACAGGCACAGTGAGCTGAACGGTTCTGTGCCGTACGATTCCACAATGTAATATTATTATCTTATATAAAATACATTGTTGTTTACTTTCTAAATCAAGATAACAGGCATAGAAATGTCATCTAAAATGCTTGTCTACTAATATCACCAAATAAATATCAGGGCTTATGAGAGTAGTCATTTTGCATTTGACCAAGCTAAGTATATAAAGTTCTTCAAAAATGCAACTTTTTTAAAAGCAATGATTTGCATTTATGCTGAGTTCAATTGTAGCAGTATAATCAGATGTGAATTGAATATCCTGCAGGTTCTGTCTCTGATTTGCGTTAATAAACTGTGAAAATGATGATACAGTGAGGAAAGTATTCTATGCAGAGAGTTTTAAGCAGCTTTGCTATTATTGAGTATGCCATTCAGAGACTGTTAGAGGAAGGAGAGACACTATTCTACTAAGTAAATTTTGTAGATAGAAGTGTCAGAAAAGATAGCAAGGATACCCCTGGAAACAAAAGCAATTTATAGATCAGTGATGAGTAATGTTCTACCAAGTCGATATATAAAACATAATTTAATCATAGCTTTTAAATAATTGATTTGTGGCATAACTAATTAATTCTGTTTCTTTTTGTCGTGATTTACAAGACTAGTGACTTATCATCTTCCCAGCATCCTTAATGCATTGTTAGATCTTTAATCTGCCACAACTAAATAGATGCACACATTCTCAGA